TTCTTCTCTGATTTTTATTTCTCTCCTTCTGCTGACTTTGGGCTTTGTTTGTTCTTCTTTTTCTAATTCAGTTAGGTGTAATTTGAGATTGCTTATTTGGGATTTTTCTTATTTGTTAAGGTGGGCCTGTATTGTGATAAATTTCCCTCTTAATACAGCTTTTGCTGTACCCCATATGAGTTGGTATGGCATGCTATCATTTTCATTTGTCTCCAGATGTTTTTTGATTTCTCCTTTAATTTCTTCAATGATCCATTGATTGTTAACAGCATGTTGTTTAGTCTCCACATCTTTGCCCCTTTCTCAGCTTCTTTCTTGTAATCAGTTTCTAGCTTTATAGCATTGTGGTCAGAAAACATGCTTGTTATGATTTCAATTTTCTTAAGTTTATTGAGGCGTTGCTTGTTTCCCAACATATGGTCTACCTTTTAGAATGTTCCATGCGCACTTGAGAAGAACGTGTATTCTGCTGTTTTTGGATGGAGTGTTCTATATGTGTCTATTAAGTCCAACTGTTTTAGCTTTTCATTTAGCTCCACTGTTTCCTTGTTGATTTTCTGTCTGGATGATCTGTCCATTGATGTGAGTGGGGTGTTGAGGTCCCCTCCTATTATTGTGTTATTATTAATATCTTCTTTTAGGTTTGTTAATAGTTGCTTTATGTACTTCGCTGCTCCTGTGTTGGGTGCATAGATATTTATAAGCATTATTTCCTCTTGGTGGAATGTCCCCTTGATCATTATATACTGCCCCTCTTTGTCTCACTTTCCCTGCCTTATCTTGAAGGCTACTTTGTCTGATATAAGTATTGCGACACCTGCTTTCTTTTGTTTGCCATTAGCTTGGAGTATTGTCTTCCACACCTTCACTCTGAGCCTGTGTTTGTCGTTGGAGCTGAGATGTGTTTCCTGGAGGCAACAAATTGCTGGATCTTGTTCTTTAATCCATCTCACCACTCTGTGTCTTTTTATTGGAGAGCTCAATCCATTTACTTTCAGGGTGATTATTGATGTATGAGGGCTTAATGCTGTCATTTTAGCATTCGTTTTCTGGTTTTCTTGCATTTCCTTTGTTTCTCGTCCTGTGTGTTTTGGTCTACCCATTGAATTATGTAGTTTTTTTATGATATGTTTCTTTGTTTTCTCCTTATCTATTCTTTGTGTTTCTGTTCTGCTTTTTTGTTTAGTGGTTACCCTGAGGTTTTTATTCAGAATCTTGTGTATAAGATAGTCCATTTTCAGACGGCCTCTTATTTCCTTAGTCTAAACTGATTCAGTCCCATTCCTCCTCCCCTCCTAAGTTGTTTTTCTCATATCTTATTCCATCTTGTGTTGTGAGTTTGTGGTTAAAATGACAGGATTATCTTTGTTTTTGGTGATTTCCTTCCCTTTAGCTTCATGCTATAGTTGAATATTTGCTATCCTATTCTGATTCTAACTATTTATCTCCTTACTCTGTGTTTTGTGACCCCTTTCTCCCTTCTCTTTTTTCAGGTATGGGAGTCTTCTTGAGGATTTCTTGTGTGTGTGTGTTGGGGGGGGGCGTCTCGTGGCTATGAAATCCCTTAGCATTTGTTTGTCTGGGAAAGTTTTAATTTCTGCCTCATATCTGAAGGATGTTTTTGCTGGATAGAGTATTCTTGGCTGAAATTTTTGTCTTTTAAAGATTTGAATATGTCATTCCAATCTCACCTAGCTTGTAAGGTTTCTGCAGAGAAATCTGCTGAAAGCCTGATGGGGGTTCCTTTTTAGGTTATTTTCTTCTTCTGCCTCGCTGCCCTTGGTATTCTTTCTTTGTCATTCATCTTTGCCAGTTTTACTACTATACGCCTTGCAGTAGGTCTTTTTACATTGACATATGTAGGAGATCTGGAAGCCTCTTTCTCACAGATTTCCCTCTCTTTCCCTAGGTTTGGGAAGTTCTCTGCTATTATTTCTTTGAACATGCTTTCTGCTCCCTTCTCCTTCTCTTCTCCTTCTTGAATACCTATAATTCTTATATTGCATTGTCTCATTGAGTAGGATATTTCTCAGAGATTTTCTTCATTTCTTTTTATCTTCATTCTTTCTCCTCCTCTGTCTGGAGCATTTCAACCTGTCTATCCTCAGTTATGCTGATACGCTCCTCTATGGTGTCCGCTCGAGCACTCAGGGAATCCGTATTTTGTTTTATCTCTTCCATTGTGTCTTCCATCTCTAATATTTCTGGTTGATTCTTCTTTATAGACTCACTTTCTTTTGTGAAGTAGCTCCTGAACTCATTGAATTGTTTCTCTACATTCTCTTTTACCTCATTGAGCTTTTGATGATAGCTATTTTGAATTCATTGTCATTTAGCTTACATATTCTCTGTCCTCAGGACTGAATTCTGGATGCTTGTCGTTTTCTCTCTGTCTGGAGATTAGATGTGGTGTCTGATGTTGCTAAAGGTAGGTCGAGTCTTACGCATTCTGATATTATTTGGTTGCAGTTACTGCCTATCGCCACTGGGTGGGGGTCGAGAGCCACATATTCTGAGCCCACTGCCTTCAGCCAAGACCTCAGGGGCTGGAGCAGCCTGGGGCCGGTGGGGAGAGGGGCGCTTTCTCCTGCATGCACTCTGGGATTTCTCACTCTTGCTGTCCTGGGTTCTTGGCTTGATGAGGTCACCCCTCGTGAAAGCTCTCGCCTCATTAAAGGGCTTCCTTCTAGGCTGCAAGGGCCCTAGGGAGTCCTTGATGTTACTGTGAACAAATGACCCCTCCCCCATTCCTTCCTCACAGATCCTCCTGCGCAGCCATGACAACAAAGTTCTCTCTTACCCTGTTCCAGCTCCTCCGAGGGGGCTCCAGCCTCTCTGCCCTCCGTCGTGTGCCTGCATGTCTCTCCAACATTTTTGTGCTCTGTTAGGGTGTCCTCCGTTGGAGTGTGGATGCCCCTTTTTATTGTATGTTGGAGGGCGAGAGTCCCGGGAAAATTCACTCCACCATCGTGCCCACGGCGCTCCCCCTCTTGACCATTTTTAACTGCACAGTTCAGTGGTATCAAATGCATTCACATTGGTGTGTAGCCCCCACCACCATCAGTCCCCAGAACTCTTTTCATGTTGTGAAACTGAAACTCTGCCCCATTAGACACTAATTCCCTGTCCCCCTGCCCAGCCCCTGATGCCCTCCATCCTCCTTTCTGTCTCTGTGATCTTGACTATTCTAGTGACCTCATATAAGTGGAATCATACAGAATTTGTCTTTTTGTAACTGCCTTATTTCACTCAGCATAATGTCCTCAAGGTCCGTCCATGCTGTAGCATGTGTCAGAATTTCCTTCCTTTTTATGGCTGAATAATATTCCACTGTGTGGATGGACCACATTTTGCTTGTCTATTCATGTCTTGATGGGTGCTGGGGTTGTTTCCCTGTTTTAGCTCTTGTGAGTAATGCTGCTGTCAGTTCTTTTGGGTTTATATGCAGAAGTGGGACTGCTGGGTCATACGGTCATTTTAGGTTTAATTTTTTGAGGAATCTCCATTCTGTTTTTCACAGCGGCTGCACAATTTCACATTCCCACCAACAGCGCCGAAGGGTTCCGATTTTTTCAAGTCTTCACCAACACTTTTTAGTTAGTTTGTTTGTAATAGTAGTCATCCTGGTGGGTGTGAGGCAGAATCCCCAATTTTTTAATGCTAGTTTCATGCTTATTGTTTTCATTAATCATACTTACGTCTCCCTAAACTACATCTTTGTGGATGCATCTTCTGTGCGTAAATATATACAGCTAGTTTTTGAGCTTTATAAACTCGGAGTCATGCTCTCTGAAGCCGTCTGGGACTTGTCTTTTTCATTCAACATCACAATTCTAAGATTATTGGTGTCATCTGTCAGAGAAGCACCCGACTCACACAGGATGGCGGAAGGAAGCCTGTCCTGACCCACAGGAGCCAGAGTCGCCTGTGAGCCTCAGCGCAGCACAGCAAGATGGCATATGCCGCACAGGAGGCAGCCCGAGCCTCGGTCCCCAGGCCCCATGGTGACACGATGGAGCCCCCATACTGAGCACACAGGGCCAGGAGCTGAGCACCATTTGTGGCAAGGAGCGCCCGGCCCAGCTGCCCTCCGTCAGAGAGCGAGCTGTTACGGGCAGTCACGCCGCAGCCCGCGTCTCCAGCTTGGGGACCTGCTCGGCCTCGGGAGGAGGACGAGGCCTGCAGCCTGGCGCAGTCAGCCAGCCGCGCAGCGGCGCCGGGACCCCGGCGGGCTGCCTCCTCTGACGTCGTGCAGACAGCTGTGGCTCCCCCATTTCCACGGCCGCATACTGCTCCCCAGGGTGAAGACCCCGCACACAGAGGCTGTTCCAGTCCCTTCGGCCACACGCGAGAGTCTTCAGAGCACAGGCGCTGAGGCGTAGGGTATCTTTGTGCTTCCGCCACTTTTTGTTCCACTTTCAGCCCTTTTGGCTGTTCTTTGCAGCCAAAAGCACTCGCTGAACGCACTCCCTGGGTGGCTCCCGGCGCTGCCACCCTCGCCGCTGCAGTCTAGAAACCACCGCGGGCCGTGGGGGAGGAGTCCCCGAATGCACCGAGGAAGCCCTGGGCCGAGTCAGATTCCATTTCTGCTCTCTGGTGGGACGGGGCTCAAAACAGAAATTAAGGTCAGCTGTAGAAAAATGAAGCTTCATTCTTTGCGCATCCGAGTTTATGAAATGAGATGCTCATCTGCTAGATGGAAAAAACCCAGCAAACATCGGGGTGTCGGCTCAATTTGGAGGGTGTGCCCTGGCATCTGCGTCCTAATTAGCTTGAGCCAAGAGCAGTAGCGGCGCGGGGCCGGGCTCAAACCCGGCTCCACCCCTTCCGCAGACCGCACCTCCGCGGGCCTGTTCCCCGCTCTGGAAAATTCGGGCACCGCTGGTCGTGGACGAGCTCGTGGGCGGGAGGCGCGTCCGACAGTGTCTGCGCGCAGCAGGTGCCATGTGTGTCTTTTGCCAATATGAGCGTGCAAAGAGAACACTACCACGCGTCCGAGGTTGTGTGCTTGTCTTTTTTTAATGTTTGCTGTTAATAAAATATTTTTACAGAGACCAAAAAGTCAGAATAGTGCAAAACATCTCAACACCATGCATTCATGACCACTTCTCGTTGGTTTTAAACATTTGTTCCAAGTCACATATTTACAGAGAAATGGGGCATCTGTGCAGACGCCGGACCGACGGGATGGAATTAAAACGAACAGCGTTGGAGTTCACAGTTGCAATCACATGCTAAGAGGTGTGTGGGGAAGCACCTCCCTGGACTGTGCGCCGGCTTTGGGGGTCTGGGGGGAGGGGGGACGGGGCTAGGGCCAGGGGTGGGGTCCGAGTCCCCCTGGCGGTGTGGCCGGGGATGCACAGGGGACCCTCCACCTTTGGCCTGTGCCTCGAGAGAGCCACTGTGGCTGGGCGGGGGCGGGAGATGGGAGGTCTTACTTGACACCGTCAACTTGATTTCTCTCTTTAAGAAAATAAAAGGCAAAGAGAAAAGCAACACGTGTCAGCGAAGACGACTTTGGTCCTTGACAATTCCTGGGAAAGGGGGTGCAGGGGGCAGATGGGCTCGTGATGTGGACCAAGCCCCGGGGGCTCCCTCCCTCTCCACCCGGGCAGCAGAGTTGGAGGTGCCTCCGGGCTGTCCCCACTCTGCTCCGCCCCTCAGTGTCCCCATCTGCAAAATGGACAGCATGGGATGGGGACAGAAAGGCTCTGAGGTCCCAGCAGAGAGAGGTCCCAAGGATTTCTCGTTGGGTGTGAAGTTTTTTGCATCTCTGATGGGGGCACGGTGAGGTTCCAGGCTCTGGGGCCCGATGGTCCGAGGGCTGCGGGCGCAGTGGACACTCATCTTTTTAGGTAAACCCTCCGAGGCGGGCCTGGTGAGAGCCAGAGAGCAGCAGTCCCTCTGCCTCCTCCCTCCTCAGTGCTGCTTCTCCTCTGCTCTCTGCCCCCAGCAGGGTGTGAGCTCCCCCTCTCGATTTCTCGCCTTCTCTCTGTGTCCTTCCTCTGTGTCTCTGCCCAAGACGTCCCTAACGTCACCTCGTCCACCTCGTCCGGGGCTGACCCAACTTCACCCCTCCCCTGACCCAAGGAAATCTGGGGCCAGCTCCTCGTGTGCAACCCTGAGGCCCCACCGGAGAACCCCACGCACTGCAGGTGAGGTGGTGAAAGCCCGGAGGTGTCCTCCGAGGCGTCCGCTTGCTGGGTGGCCTGAGGGAAAGCCTGCTCCTCTGGGCTCAGTTCCAGGACAGGAACTTCCTGATTTCAAATGCTTCCAGCCCCCGGGATTCCTCTCCTGGCTCCTCCCGTCCTCTCTCATCCTCTCTTACTCTGTGTCCTGTGGCTGAGCCACAGTCTGGCTTGAACACCTCCTGTGTGTCCATGTCTGTGTGGGAAAGGAAGGTTGGCACAGACAGACAGGGACAGACACACATGTGGATGTGGACACACACAGACCCCCACCCAAGACATAATCCAAGCCTCCCATCCCCCTGTGCCCAGCCTGAGCTGGGTGAACTTGGGGCTCTTGAGAGGCCTCAGACTCCCATCTGGGGGGAAACAGCTTGTCACAGACCCCCCTGGCCCCATGGCATCAGGGACAGAAGGTGAGGACAGAGGCTTGGGAACAGACAGACAGAGGAAGATGGATAGAGGCTGGGGAAGTCCTGAGGGGGAGCAGAGAGGGTTTCCTACTGGAAGGGATATTTGTGGATGAGTTTTGAGGGATGAGTAGGAGTTCTCTGGGGAAAGAAGAGGGAAGAAATTTCCAAAACAGTTCTAGCCTGGGAGTCAGAAAAAGTCATTCAAAAAATACTCCCTGAGGCTCCCTCTATGTGCCCGGACCAGTGCTGGGGAACACTACACACACACATGCGCACACACACACACACACACACGTGTGCGCACACAGGCCTTGACCAGAGACATTGCCAAGGAAGCTTTTGGGAAATACCTGGCAGCTCAGCGCCCCTTTTTCCTGCGAGTCATTCAGAAATCTGTGAGGGCCCAGCCCAGATCACAGGTCGCCTCCCTCTGGGTGTTCTTAGTGTTCTCCGCCCCAAGTCATCCACCTCCGTCACTCCCACTCCCACCTCTTAGATGGTTCAAATTTCAAATCTGCCTCTTGGTCCCCTTGGTGACAGACTCCAAGCCCCCCTCGCCACTGCCTAGCCTGCCCCTTCCCCCTGGCTGGAACCCCCCTCTCCTACCGTCCTGTGTGAGAATTTGCGTCCTAATCTCTGGTTCAGAACCTCCAGTCACCTGAACCTGCCTGAATTTAGGGTACACCTAGCGCTCCAGGTAAATGAGAAAACAGTGCCACTTCTTCCAGAACCTTCATGTCTCCATGCCAGGAAACCATCACCATAAACATACAACTCTCAATGCCTGGAATTTGCACATGGCTTCTGTAGAGACACCGAATCCTTGGGCAGTGCACAACTGGGACAACTGTACCCAGCAGTCCTCAGGCTCATCTAAGGGCAGGGTTTGTTGTTTGTTTTTAATATATCCTCCAAAAATCCTTCCAAGAATTAATTTTGGTGTCCTGAGAGCACTCTGTCCTCCCCCTACACTGCATTGGGCCAATCCCGATGAGGTAGCTGGGGGAAGCTTTGGAAACCTGAAATGCAGGCTCTCCCCAGCTTTAAACCCTCCTGGGGCTCCCCATGCTTCTTAGGTAAAATCAAAACTCCTCAGGGCAGCATAGGAGGCCCCACGAGGTCGATATCTCTGCAGGTCTCCCCATCCTCACCGCCCCCACCCTCCCCTTAATGGCTCAGCTCCAGCCGTGGGGACCTTCTTGCCAAGCTTCAAACCTGCCCACCTCCTGGTCTTTGCACCTGCTGTTCCCTCTGCCTGGAGCTCATTTCTCTTCAGTGGGTGGTTCCCCCTCATTTTCCACCTCCACGGAGAGCCCTCCCTCACCTTCCCTGTCTGATGTCGTCTTCAGCACTCCAGGAGTCTCGCTACGCATCTCCTCCCTCTGTTGTAACTTCTCCCTAGCCCAGCACCAGCCTGTACTTAGCAATCTGGCAGAAAAATCCACGGCAAACGCACACGAGTCCAACGCCGAAAAGCAGATCCTGGGCAAAGACGAGCGCTGCCAACCTTTCCCAAAAGGTTCTCCCCGCCTGAGTAAAGGGGGGAAGCCGGACCCCGGGCAGATGCCCCAACGCCCGCTGCGGGAAGCGCTTTGGGCAGCTCGGGGCCCCAGCTGGAGGCACCCTGTGGCCTGCGAGTTTGAATGAATGAATGAGGTTTTAGAGACCAAGCTCCGAGCAAATTACACACACACACACACACACACACACACACACACACACACACACCCCCTTAGAGATTCTGGTCTCTTTCTGCCCTTTTCTGTCTGGGGAATTCTGGGAGAGGAAGAAGGGGTTGGGGGAGCCTGGGTCCAGGGAATCCCAAAGCCTCACTCTTTGTTGGCGAGAGGTCAAGAGTTCTTAGGGTGTCCCCCCCGGGGCCCCTCCCAGTGGGAAGGGCTGAAGGCAGGAGTTTTGCTTGGCAGCCAGAGGTGGGAGGGGGCAGAGGGGGCCTTGGCCCAGGACCCCCATCCCTTATAACGATTGGGGGAGGTCCCCTGGAGGGAGGTTAGCAGCAATGGGGAGCTGTGTCGGGTCATCCGATCTCAGCCCACCCTTCCATGGGTAACACAGGCCCACAGGCCAAAGAGAGTAGGGAGAGGGCGTGGCGCTGGAACTCTCGGCCGAGTCTCAAGCAGCTCTCGGGGCCTCAGTTTTGCCATCTGTCAAATGGGTGGGTTGAACTCTATGATAAGAGAACTGGGTATGTGGGGGGAAAAGGGGAGGCAAACCCCCACAGGGAAGTGGGGGCAGCGCCGGGTGCTCAAGAGCCGTCCCCCGGCCCCCAGGGTTTGGGCGCCCAAGGGCGCATGTGCTTTTGAAATCCCATCCTCCCCACTCTCCCCGTTTATTTTTTGCACAAACATCAAAAGTGACTCCAGTCCACCCAGCATGCTAGAGTCTCCAGCCTCCAGACCGCCCCAGGAAGCCCAGCCCCTGACCCAGGGCCCGCCCCTCGAGGGAGCTAACAGTTCCATACTTGGCAATTGGTCTTGGGCCCCAGAGGTTGGGGACCCGTCTTATGGCTTTTCCGGGGGACAGGAGGCGGGGCCTCCCGGCACCAGAGCCCTGGGACCTGGCCTCCTCCATAGGGGACGGGGCTTCCTCCCATCCCACTTGAACAGCCCCCTAGGCGGCGGGGGCGCGGCCTCAAGTAGGGGATGTGGCATCTTCCTTCCTCCCGTCCTGGGGCGTGGCCTCCCGAGGGGGCGGGGCGTCGTCCGGTCACAATTTCCCAGAGCGGGGAGCTAAGTCAAGGGCGCAGGCGCAGCCCGCCCCCGGCGCAGAGCCCGGAGACTCCGCCTCCGGGAGATCCCAGCGCGCAGGCGCCGCCCCGCCCCGCGCGCTACACGCAGGCGCAGTACTGCCCGCCCCCGCACGCCCCGCGCTAGGGCGCAGGCGCAGCACCGCCCTCCTCGGCGGAGCGCGTGTCTGACTTGAGCTTGACGAACTCTTTGGCCACCTCGTCATTACTGCGCTGCGATAGGATGCGCAGCACCGTGAGGCCGGTGTCGTCCATGTGGATGCGGCGGCCGAGCGGCAGCCAGCAGGCGGCGCTCCCGCGCTGGGCCAGCTCGCGCAGCTGCAGCACGGCCAGCCCCACGGTGCGGTCCTCGCGCGCGAAGCAGTAGTCCTTGACGCACACCTGCAGCTCGTAGCACTCGGGGCCCGCGTCGGCGCTCAGCGTGCTGCGTGAGGGGGCGGGGCGTGAGGGGGCGGGGCGTGAGGGCAGGCCCCGCCCGGGCCGGCGACTCGCCTCCACGCTGGGCCACGCCCACACCAGCTGATGCCCCTGCCTCCGCCCCAAATGCTGTCCCTGAGATGTCTTGCCTCCTTCCCACCCAACGACGCCCCCACCAGACTATGCCCAGCCCCCGGCCAAATCACATCTTCACCCCAAGTAATCCTTCCCCCAGGCCCCCCTGGCTACGCCGTGCTCCCACCCTGAGGTACTTGCGGCCACGCCCTTGGCCAGCAGAGCTGCTGCCCCCAGCACCCTGCCCCAGATGGCCCTCCCAGAAGCACCTTGACCAGGCTCCCACCCAAGTTCTCCCTCTGACGCAGTCTCTCCCCCAGGCTCCCTAACCCACCCCTCTTACCCCAAGATGCTCTCTACACAACCCTACCCTGACCGCCCCTTCCAGCATGCCTCCCCCTCCCCCCAGGCTCAGACCCCAGGGACACTGGGTTCCTGCACCCAGGTCACCTGCCTTGACGCTGGCTGACCAAAAGCGCCCACTTTTGGGGCCACACCCACACGGATCCCTCGCGTCCTCCTCCCAGGCTGCATGCCTGCCCACCCCAGGAGACATCCGCCCCCACTAGGCCCTGCTACTGCTCCTGAGCGTTGCATCAGGTGACCTGCCACTCCAGAGTCCTCTGACCAAGAGCCCTCCTGACACAACTGGCCAGGCTCTTGTCCCTCAAGGGCCTCCCTCCCCCAGCTCTGATGCCCTCTTACCCCTCTGCACTTCTGTCCCCCAAGAATACCCCCAGGGAGGCATATACTGCTGCCCCAGTGAGGCTCACTGACCAGAGATCTGCCCGCCCTAGGGAGCCTTCTCTACACCCTGAGGGGACTTATTTACGCCCCCAGGTTGCCTACCCCTCTAGACCCCTAAAGCCCCTGACCAGGCTCACTCCTGCTCACCAGGAGGCCCCATCTGGACGGGACCCCATCCCCTAGACCAAGCCACGCCCCACTCCTGTCCCTGAGGGCCAACTCCTCCAGATGACCTGCCCCAACGGCCCTGACCGGGCTCGCAACTGGCTTCAGGAGTCCCTGTGCCTACGCCCCTCAGCCCCTGGCCCAGGAGCCTTCTGCCCCATCATGACCACCCACACCCTTCACCAGACCAGTCTCCAGCCTCAGAAATGGCCCCGCCTGACACACCTCTTCTGCCCAGACTCCTTCTGCACAAGCCGTCATCATCACTCTACATCACATTCACTGCCTCCCTGGAACCTGCCTGTCCCCCAAGGTGGTCACCTCCATCCCAGCGTCCCTCACTGACGTCACTCCTGCACCCAGGTGCCACCGGTCCATTAGACCTTCCTTCTGCCTAGAGGGCCCTGAGCTCCGCCCCGCCGATGTCCCCTCCCCGTGCTCCCCGAAGCATCCCAGACTCACAACTGGAAGCTCTCATTGTACTTGGGGGCCCAGCTGTTGTTCTTGGATTTGGTCGCAAACTTGCGTTTCTTGTCACTGAGCTGGGGCCCAATGATGTTGACCTCGATGAATGGCCGGAAAATGCCGGAAGTCTGCCACTTGAGGTCATTGGCAGCCACCACTGTTGGGGAAAGTAGAGGGTAGGCTAGTGGAGGTAAAAGTTCAGGCTTCCCCAGTATGTGTTTGTGGTTTTGAAAGCCTGTCTGAAAGACTACATTTCCCAACATGCTCTTGTTGCTGTGTGGCCGTGTGACTAAGTCCCAGCCAATGAGATGTGAGAGGAAGTGATGGGTACAACTTGCTGGTTGTGACTTAAAAGGCAAGGAGAGTGCCCTAAACTACCTCCTTCCCCTGGCTGCAGGGCTCGAATGCTGCTGGGGGCTGAGTTCTTTGGGACCCTATAGAGGAGGAAAACACATTAGGGGTGAAAGTGCAACAAAAGATGGCAGGATCCAGGATCCGCAAGACTGTGAGGCCTCCGTGTCAGCTCCGGCCTGACTGTTCTCGCAGTTACCTAGGTGAGAAATTAATTCTATCTTGTTTAAGATCCTATCTTGGGCCTTGGATAAAACGGCCCAATCTATATTCTACATAACAAAACAAAAGCCAACAAAAGGAAAGCAGAGCTGAGAGAGAAAGTGCGATTGAGTCCTATAACACTGTTTGTACTCCTGGATCCAGACATGCCTGAACCCCGTGGTCTTCTTCTGGAATTTTCAGTTTTATGGAAAAAAAGTTTTTTTTTAATGAAAAAAGTTGTTCTTGCTTTAGCTGGTTGGAGTTTGGTTTCTCTCTTCGAACCTAGTGCATCCTGACAAGGCACTCCCCCTCCCGCCTCAGGCTGCTCACCTTTCACTGTCACCTTGTGTTCCCCAGTTCCTGGGTGAGTGAAGAGCTCAACGTGGACGGACACTTCACCCACAGGGTCTTCCACACCTGAGCCTGGGCAGGGCAGGGAGGATGCCGGGTGTGAGCTTCATTCCTTCCCACCCAGCAGAAGGGACCTGGACCCCTCCCACCCACCATGTGCTGGCGGCACCAGGTCATCAGTCCTGACAGGGTGGCCCTGAAGGGGGGGCTGGGATGGCAGGTGCTCTTGGAGAGGCCAAGAATCTGGGTTTTGGCTTTTCACTGCCTTTCTGTGTGATCTCAGGCAGATATCTTAACTTCTCTGAGCCTAATGCATCTGCCCCCTGTTTTTCTCATTCAGCTGATCACCATGTTGTCAAAACTCAGTCTTTATCATATATACCACCTCAGCAGCATCTGACACCCTGGCTTCCTGTGCCTCAGTTTCTCCTCTTGGTTGCAACAATGCCACACTCTCCAGCTTCTCACCCTACACTCTAGCTGCTCCTCACCCTCTTTTGTTGCTTCCTCCTCCTCTGTCGATCCTCCATCTGCTGGGGCTCCCCACACCTCATCCTTGATGCCTTCTTTGTCTTCACTCCCTCCCCAAGTACGGCTACAGTGGAAAATCCTGCCTGCTCTACCTTCAAAATACCTCCAGAATCTGCCACCTCCTAGCCCTCCACCCTGGTCCAGCCCCATCGCTGGACGCCTGGACCACTGCAGTGGGCTCCTCCAGGTCTCCCTGCAGCCTCTGGTCAGCTTCTCTCGACACACTAGCCTGAGAAATCGTATTACGGCAGATCACATGCCTCCTGTGCCCGCAACCCTCCCACGGCTCCCATCTCACTCTGAAGTGCTCAGTCCGTTTGGTGACCGGCAATGTCACTCCCCACGTGTCCTCACTACCACTTCTCCTGCCTCGCCTCACCTCCACTCTCACTGACTCTGCTCCAGCCACACGACCTCCTCACTGCTCCTCCAACACACTGTCCTCCCTTCTCCGGAAGGGACATCTTTTATTTCCCCCGCCCCCACACCAGCCTCTTTCAATAGACAATCTCCTTTCCAGTGAGAAACGCCCCCCACCCCGCCCCCGGCCCTCGTGGCTCTCACGTCAGTCTGGCTAAGTGAACCACAGCTGCCCAATCAGAGCGTTTGCTGCCCCTGGCTGCAGGGATTGGCTCGAGGAGGGTCATGTGACTCAACCTGGGCCAATAGGAGATGGCCCTGGGACTTCAGTGGTAACTGCTAGGAAAGAATCTCAGCTCTGGCGCTGAGCTGGCAAGTCTGTCTCTGCCCAAGGAGGGGACAGCCCAACCCAGAGAGGTCCCAATAGAGACCAACGACCAAAGGCACTGTTGGAGACTGGATCTAGCTATTCCTGATGCCAACACAACCCCTAATCTTTCAGTTCCCGAGCCAACAAATTCCCTTGTCTGCTTGAGTCAGGGTGCAGTGCACTTGTTTCCGGCCACCACAGCGTCCTGACTGTGCAGTTCTGATGGGGATGATTGAAGGGGCAGCTTAAAAACTTCCATCGCTGTCCCTCCCTCTGTGACCCTGGGAAGGGCATCCTGTGGGGCCTAGCGACCTGTGACCGCCAGCACTCCCACCAGGCCCCTCCCCTGCCCCTCAGAAAGCTCCCCACGCCTGGAGCACCCCATGCATGGGGGAAGGAAGAGGGGTAAAGTCGGGGGTGGGTGCGGGTGGGGAAGGAGAACAGGTCAGTCCAAGGTTGAAACCGGTTGCCCGGTGCTGGGTGGGAAGTGACTGAGGCTCATGGGGCAGAGGGGCCTGGAGACCTCCATCACCCCAGTAGTGGGGCGTGCACACCCTCTCTTTGCTGCCCACCCCAGGCTGCCTTCCTTGTCATCTCAGGCTCCGACCCCCTCCCCCGCAACCAGTCACATGCTCAGCCTCACCACCCCCCAGGCCGATGCTTCACAGCAAGCTCAATCCGGGCCAGACTGAGGGTACCGGGGGGGTGGTGGTGGGGGTGAGGGCTCAGACCATGGCCAAAGCTAGTAAGAAGGGGGAGGGGGGCAGTGCTGGGCGCCCCCATCCCGTAGTTTGCTGGCTCCAAGGGGAAGCGTCTTTCCCGGGCCTCTCTGTGCTAGCCCCAACTCCACCCCCCATTCCCCAAATCCCGGCCCCCGAAGGGGAGGAGTCCTGGGGCGGGTGGCTTAAGCTCCTGTGAGACCCAGCTTCCTCATCTGCGGAATGATGGACCGCCCTGTGGGGCAATTGGACGGAAAGTTTGCCAGAATCCCCAAGAAATGCTTGGCACAAGGGCTGACTCAGAGTTGGAGCCTGAAAAACGCTGGTTTTCTAAGTTGGGAAAAGTGACATCAAGAATAATAATAGTAGCCACAGCAGTAACAACTAAATAGCTGTGAGCGATTACCTGTCAGGAACTGCCCCAATTTAATTCATCTAATCCTAAAAATAGCCCTATGAATTAGGGTCCTTGACTATTTCCATTTTACAGATGAGAAAGCCGAGGCTCAGGGAGGTAGACGGTTGCCGGGGGCGCCCAGGGCGGAGCGGCGGAGCTGGCATCTGAGCCCGCTCCCAACCGCGCGGACGCCCGTCCGGGGGACCCGGGATCTGGCTTAACAGATGTCCCCAGGGAGAAACGGATTCACACTGGAATCGCTCCTCCTTCCCAGCGTGGAACCAGCAAGCCGTCCTTCGCCCTCGTCCTTCGCCCTCGTCCGCCTGGGTCCCCGCAACCAGTCGGGTCTGGGCGGGGCCCTGCAGGCCGGGGAGGCGGAAGGACGGGCCTTTTACTAGCCGGGGCCGGGAGGGGCGCAGGCACCGGGCACCGGGCGCGGGCGGGCGGGCGGGCGGGCGGCGGAGGCACGTACCCTTCTCAGGATAAATGTCTTCACTAAGGGTAAACCTAGTCCCTTTTCCACCATGGACTAATCACCGGGGGCGGTGGAGAAAGGAGGGGAGGGTGGGGTGGAGGGAGAGACGAGCGAGCGAGAGGCGAGGATGGAGGGCAAGTGTGCGTGGCGGGGAGCGGGGGAGCGCGGAGAGGGGGCGGCGAGTGAGAGGGAGGAGAAACAAGAGAGAGAGAAACGTCAGCTGCAGACGGACGGACGGACGGCCTCCCGCTCCGGGGGGACACCAGGGACACTAAAAGCAGCAGCGTGGACTGGGCACGAAGCTGAGCGCAGAGACGTGACGCCCAGGGAGGGTCCTCGGCCCTGGGCTGACAGGCGGGAGGGGCCGCGGTGGCCCCAGGGCTTTGCTCCCCTCGCCCCAGCCGCTCCACTGCCAGAACTAAGCCTGGGTCAGAGGCAAAACTTCTCTCCCTCGCCTGCACTCTTAGGGCCAGTTTTGAAAAGGGGATCCCCAGGGAGGGGAACTGGGACCTGGAGTCCCGCCCCCCACCTCCAGCTGCTGTGTGTGAGCTCAGACAGGGAAGGGAGACAGACCAGCGAAGAAAGAGAAAGAGAGACTTAGAGAAACGGGAACTCCCTCTCGGTTCACCCCTTCCAGGGCGGGGTCCCTCCCACCCCTGGGGCTGTCAGTCATTGCTTAGCCCCAGACATTACAGAGGTCCCGCCCCAGGGGCCTTCAACCTTTCCTCCAGAGGCCCCTCTTCTGGAGCTGCCAATCATTCTTTGACCCCAGCCGTCAAGGTCCCGCCCATCCCAAAGCTGTCAATCACTCTCTGTCAACTACTCCCGGGACCCATGACGTCGACGTCCCGCCCCAGAGCTTCCAATCACCTCCTGGCCCATGACGTCATAGATTTTCCCAGGAGATGACACCACCTCCTGGCCCGATGACGTCAGAGGCCCCGCCCCCCTGAGCTGGGGATCACGCATTGGCCCCATGACATCACGGAGCTCTCATGCGCCCTGGAGTGCCGATTCAGGCCCTGCCTATGATGTCACACCGGAGGTGAGCCTACGGCCGCGGGTCCGGCGCGGGGGCTGGGCTGCCCCCGGGGGCGGGGTGTGCAGCGCGCCAGCCGGCCGCCCCTTACCCTGGGCCGCCTGCGTCTGCACGAAGGTCTTGATGAGCAGGTCGGTGGCCTGCGTGTAGAGGGACAGGGCGTAGCGCAGCGACTGAAGGTCCGGGCTCTTCTCCAGGAAGGTCTTCTTGAGGCCCACGCCGCCCGCGTGGAAGTATTGCTGTGGGGACAGGGTGGGAGAGGTGGGGCTGGAGGGACCCCTACCCGCTCTTTGGGCTCCGTCGCCCCCTCCCCTCCGCCGCTGCCCTCCGCGGTGATTCCCCCGATGACCCGGAGGTCTTTGAAACGTCAGATCCTGCTACTCCCCCGCCTCGTGCCCCACCCATGCCTCAGCCCCTCCCTAGACCCTTTGTGGCTCCAAACCTGCAACCCCAGCTGTCTTCCCTAGAACATCCCTGTCTCAGGGCCTTTGCCCGCCCGCAGCCCCCTGGTAGGAAGGTCACCCTCGTCGGGCCCGGCCCGCTCCTGGCGCCTTTGCTGAAGCTTTCGCCTTCCTTTGACTGCCCCTGCTCACTACGTTGCCAACCCTAGTTCACCGCAATTGTCCATTTCAGCAAAACGCTTCCTTCCCAGCAGTCTTCCCGCTTTTCTTTTCACCGAGACGACAGCCCCTCTCACACCTCCTTGCTCTTGCGTGCACTGGTCCCCTGCCTAGGATGCTCTGTCTGGGCGGCCTTGTGAGCGCCGGTGCATTCCTCAGAACCCACCTCCCACGTGCCTTCTTCCCAGAAGTCCTTGCTGCTCCCTCCCTGGGCTCCCCCAGCTCCCATCCCTCCCTCTAGCGACCCTAACCCCACAGGGCCGCAGAGACCTGCATCCAGCTCTCCCCACAAGACTGGGGCTCCTTGGGCCCTGCCATCAGCCAGCCCGGCACTGACATAGAGGGCCATCTGGGAGTGTTTCTAAATGGGATGAATGAAGGCGGGTGGGAGCCCAGGTCCATGTCCCACTAGCCACCCCTCTGCCCGCCCCACTTGGGATGGCGCCCAGGTGGGGCCCCTCACCTTGATGGTGTCTAGGGCCAGCTCAACGACTGCACACTGCTTCGGGGTCAAGCTCTTGGCTTCTTCTCGTACCATGTGGTCCTGGATGGATGGAGAGAGGGGCCCGGGTGGGCAGAGCAGGCCCCGCCTTGGGGATCTGCTTGTCTCTGGGTCTCCACCCTGTAAAATTCTGAGGCGCTGGATAGCAGGTCTGTCTTTTCATCGTCGTGTCCCCACTGCCCAGCATGTGACTGGCACACAACCGGTGCTCAATAAATGTTTGTTGAATAAATGATTTGTACCCTTGATCAAGCTGCATTTGAAGTTGAACCATGCACATCTTTCCAACAGACTGGAGCAAATAAATTGTGTGTAAGCCACTCTGAGAAGGGTTTCTGTCCCGTGAGCTTGCAGAGCGTGTCCCCATTCTGGGCCCTCTCCCCAGGGAGCCTGCCCACCTCGGCCTCCTGCTCCATCCCTGCCTCACCTTGAGTTTAGACAGCTGGCCCAGCTCCTTGGCCGCATTGAAGATCATCTGGGTTCCCTGTGGGCGACAACAGACGCAGCAGAATGAGGGGGGGTCTTCCAGCCCAGCCCCCAAGCCCCTGATGATACGCCAGCCCCGAAGGCCTTCTTGGTTCTTGTCCAAAGGCTCTGGGCAGGGCGATGGTTGCGTCTCGGGGACAGAGGTCTGGAGCCCTTAAGGAAGTGCTGGGGAGGAGGTGGTGACCTTGTCCCCAGAAACCCCAGTCCCGTGGGGACCCCTGCCCCCCTTCACTACGACTTCAGGTTTGTGGGACAGAGAAGAGAAACAGAGAGCGGCAGCCGGCGGCAGTGCGTGGGGCAGCCGGAGAGGGTGTTTGTGGGTCTGGGCGGGCCTGCCAGCTGCGTCTGGAGGAAACCCTGAGATGGGCTCTGGGGGCCCCCCGAGCCCCCATGGGCCCTTCTGTCTGTGGGAGGATTTCCCCAGTACTCTGGAGGGCTGTCAGTCTGACCTTTTAAGGGAAGAATCCTCCCCGGAAAACACACGTCAGTGCCAATCCCTCACCGCCCCCAAAGCAGACCCCAGCAGCGTGGCGTCCTCGCCACGGTTCCCTCAAGCCAGGTGAGCCCGGGTTCAAATCTCAGCTCTGCTGTGTGGCCCTGGGCAAGTCACTTAACCTCGCTGAGCCTCAGTTTTCCCAACTAGATGGGGGAAATCATATCTACTTTGTGGTTCAGCTGGGACTAAATGTGTCTTTATTCAGTGTTCACTGTTATTATGACTTGGTCTCAAGGTCACGGGCGGTGCTGGGGGGAGACGGAGCCGGACTGGAAGCCACATGTCCTGCCTCTTCCGTCACTGTGCTGGGGGACCTGAGGCACTTCCCTGGCCCTTTCTGGGCCTCAGTTTCCTCCCCTGGCTAACAGAGGCAGCAGCGCTAGCTGGGGGGCTGGGGTGGGCTGAGTATCAATGAGGTCAGGAGGCCAGCATGCCTCGGCCCCGGGGGGTCTGGGGTCCCCTGAGGGGGCCTTTTACGGTGGGGAGTATTGGAACCACCTTGATGGTCTGCCAGCTGCTGGTGCGAGCTGGGCATCCTGCCGCTGCTCAGATCATTATTGTCATCCTGGCTGCCACTGCTCTTCATATGCCTTTTCTGTGACTTCACGAGGCACACTCAGGAGCCAGCTGTCTGGGCCTCAGTTTCCCTGCCACACCCTCCTCCCCACCTACCTCCCCCTGCCCTCCACCCTTCACGAGCAAGTTAGACAGACAAAGGAAGAAGAGACCGACAGACGGGTTCACAGTACGCCCCGGACGCACGGACCACAGAGGCGGACGGAGGCGCGGGGTGGGGGGGGTGGGGGCGCCAGACACACAGAGGGGCCGGGCTTACATCTGAGTGGCTTGGCAGTCTCACCCTGCCCTGTGGAGAGAACCAGGCGGAGGTCAGAGTTCCGGAGGCTGCTGGGAGGGCACTCGCTGGGACTTCCCTGCCCTCAGAGCACAGCCCCAGCGCCCGCTCACGAGCCCCTCCCAGTCCCGGGTCTAATGCCCGGCCCCCTCCCCAGGGGGGCGCCTTCCCTTGTTCCTGGGGCGGGGAGGGCGGCTGGGGCCAGACTCCAGACTGCTGGGAGGCCTAATCCAGCCTTTGGCCTAGGGATGGGTGCCCACCCACAGCCAGCCTGCCTGGATGGGGCAGCTGGGGAGGGCAGAGAAGAGAGGGCCTTGGTATCTCTCCTCCCCAGCTCTCAAGACCTCATCCCCAGGCCTAACTAAAAGAAACGTATTAACAGGCATCACGAGGTCACTCGACACACAGACACACCCAGGTACATCCGTGTGTGCAGAAAGTTTATGTGCGCACACACCTGGCTCCACATACACAGACACACACACATGCAGAACTCATGCTAAAACACGCATGTGCACTCCAAAACATTTGCACACATGCACAATCACACACATAAACCCACACGCTCTCGCCCCTACATGGATGCACATACATGTACACGGTGCCTGGCACATTGAACGTGCCCCTGAAGGGCTGGATTAGTGAGTAGTGAGGCCCTACAACCCCCATTCATGAAGCAGAGACCCTACTTGTGAGTAAACAACTATAATAGCGCCCGTATGAGTGCACAGCAAGGGCAACTGTCCATGTGTTGCCATAGCAGCCATCTGCTTACAATAAACACCCATTAGAACAACAACAACAAAAAATCTACATAAAAAACAACATGTCTCAATCCAAGGCAGCAGTCCAGTGTCTGGGCCCTTCTGGAAGGCCCGGAATTTCAGCTGAGCCCAGGGATGGGATAAGCCCATGCGTATTATGTAAGAGGATGACAGCCATTTGTGCACACATTTGCTCACACACACTCCAAGCCACATCCTTGGGGAGTCACCTCGTCTCTGACTTCTGGTCTTGTGGAACTTGGTTAGAAACCCCACCTCCTACCCGTCACCCCCAGCCGACCTTCCTGCCCATGCCCATGGACACACACAGGCACACACACACCCAGACACCAGAGCTCGGGACCTCAGCACAGATGAGGCCCTCATTACCTTTTCTAATCCCTTGCCATGTTTTCTCAAGAGGGTGCCCTGCAGAGACAATGTCACAGGGTGATCAGCCTGGCAAGCCATGTGGGTGGGCACCTGGGGTGACCACACATGAACTCACAGGGACGGAAGGAAAAGGCACCTGCACTGCACCGGGGGCTGGTGACGGGGCTGCATGGAGCAGTGTGTGTGCCTTGATGACCGACTCTTAGAAGGTGTTAGAGACCCAGAGAGACAGGAAAGAGAAAGAGAGAGAGAAGGAGAAATAGAAATACAGGCCCTGAGAGAACAGAGAGAAGTCACTGCCAAAATATAGTCCATTTACATTTACTGTATACGTGAGGCTCTTGGTTCTCAAAAGCAAAGGGGCTCCAGCTTCAGATAGACCTGAAGTTGAATCCTGACTCTGAAATATATTTACTATGTGGCCTTCAGCAAGTGACTCTTCCTCTCTGAGCCTCAGCTTTCCTCATCTGCAAAATGGGAATGATAATAGCCACCTCACTCAAAGGGCTGTCATGAAGGTGAGCAGCTCTGAGAAGGTCTGGCATGTAGGGAAGCATCAATAAATGTGAATTCCCTAACCTCCCTGGCCACACATGCACTGTCTGTGGTTGGGTACGCTGCCACCAGGTAGTTACAGCCAAAGACCCAGACTGCAGCCACCAAGAAGTGAGATGAGCACTTGTAAACTTTTGACAAGGTGAAATCTTGTAACAGCGCTGCCTTGCCCACAAAGGGGGACTCTGAAGTGGTGTTACTGATCTCTGCCCTTGTGGGTCTGTGTACTATCACCAAGAACAACCATCACACTAGCTCTAATTTAGTGAGCGCTGCCTCAGCTAGTCACTGGAGATGAGCACGTTAATGCATTATTCCATTTCGTTCTTACAACCCTCAGAGAGTTGCTACAATTAACCCCTTTTCCAGACAAGGAAACGGAGGTTGGGAGGTGAAGTGACTTCCCAAGGTCACAGAGAAGAGAATGGCTGGGCTGGGATTTGACCCCAAGTCTGCCTGACACCAAAGTCAACGCCGTCTCCCACTTGGGTGCCTGTGTGTGTGTCTGTATGTGCAGCGGGACTGGGGCAGACGGGGCTGGCGAGGGACGGAGGGACAGAGCGTGTGCTCTAGGGGCCTGCACTGAGCAGCTGCCGAGCCCGGTGTGGATGGCCTGTGTTTTGCAGGGGCTGCTACAGTTCAGAGCCCAAAGGGGAGGTCAGAGGGGCTGCACTGACCCTGAACCTCCTTCCAGCTCCGAGAGAAGACCCAGCCAGCCTGGTGGCATCTGGGCATGGGAGCAAGGGTGAATTCCAGCTAAAGGACAGGGCACGTGGGCAGGCGCTGGCCAGGGATGTGGAGCCGGGGGCGCTCCTCAGGACTTATAATGGGGCGGGGTGGGTGGCGCGGCCTCCCTCCCTCCCAGCCCCGCCCCCTCCCCATGCCCCCCCAGACAGACACAGGCACATCTAGGCGTGAGGTGGAACGGTGGGTGGGGGGCCACTGGGTGAGGAGGGGCACTGGGGAGGGGGTGCAGCCACGCAGAGGGCCGAGTCCATACACAGAGCAGAGGGACAGACAGACGGACAGAGGGGCCTCTACTTACGATCATCTGTCAGCCGTGATGGGGACAGGGCGGTGGGAGGGGGGAATAAGTCACCATGAGTCTCCTGGGAAGGCCCCGACGGGGCAGAGACGGCACCGAGGGGCGGACCCCGTGCCCCAGCCCAGCCTGCAGGAGGCCGGAGCCTCCCCCACCATCATCGCCTCTTGGCGGCCCCCTGCCCACCTTGCCCAGGCCTCTCCCATCCGCCCAGGATGGTCCTCCCACTCTGTGCTGTGCCACCGTTGTCCTCAGGCCCCCAACGCCTCCCTGGAGGGACCCACACTCAGCCACACCCCTCCGCAAATGTCACCGGTCGCTCCACTCCCGCCCTGCAGCCTGATCCCTGGGGATCACTGCCTCTGTTCTGGTTTCCAGAAGGGTCCCAGAGGCATGGTCCTGGTCTCTGGATGACCGCTGACCTCTGCTTAACCTCTCTGACCGTGGATGCTCTCCGTGACCTCTGGTTGACCTCCAGGAGCCCTCTGGTCTATCCGTCTCTGATCTTTGAAGGCCATGGTGTCTCCCTTCCTTGTTTCTTGATTGACTCCCTAAGCCCTTTATGAACCTACTGACCCCTACGACCTCTGTGACCCGTGGGTGGCTTTGATCCCCAAGCTGACTTCTCTGTTTTCTGGATGACCTCTGACCTTTGAGTGACCCCTTGACCCCCATGTGACCTTTATGTCCCTTGGATGTCACTTGACTCTACTTGGCCTCTCTGACCTTTGAATAACTGATTCCTGAATGACCTCTTTGACCCTTTGATGACTTTTGACCCGTAAGTGACCTCTCTCATCTTTGAATGGCCCCGCTGACCTCTGGTGGCTTCTATGACCCTCAAATGGCCTTTGTGCCTGAATGACCTGAGCCCCAATGCCTTTAGCACCAAATTTCCTGGGCTCCCGCAGGAGAGGTGGCCCAGGTGCCCCCTCTGGCCCCGTGGGCTCACCGTCTGATCAGTGAGGGGCGGCAGGACGATGGTCTTCTCCATGGTGTTCATGACCAGCTTCCATAACTCCTTCAGCACCCGCTTCAGCACCGTCTTCTCACAGATTTTGGCAAAGAGAGTCAGGCTGGGGGCAAGGGGCAGGTCTGAGAGAGCGCCCACCTGGCCCTACCCCACAGAGCCCTTCCCCCCAACAGACGGGCAAGGTGGGAAGGCATTCCATGGACACACAAGAGGGAGCAGAGCCTGTACCGGGACCCCTAGGTGGTCTGATGGGGCTATGATGCATGCTGCATGTGCAGAAGAGAAAATGGTGGCAGGACAGGTCATCAGGGGCCAGACTGGAAAGGGCCTCAATGTCCAGGAGGAGGACCTGGGTCTTAGCATGAGGGCACTGGGGAGCCATGGAGTGTTCAAGAGAGAGACACAGCCAGACTTCTTGTCAGAAAGAATGGAGTTGGGGGATGAACTAGAAGAGGAAGCCTGGAGACCATGGACTATGAGGGGGCTGGGCCGTGCTCAGGAAGAAGGGGCAGGGAATGGTAGGAAGAGGAAAGACTTGAGAGGGAAAATGACAAAGAATTCATGATTGGATATACGCGGGTTGAAGGACAGAGGGCAATCCACCACGGTCCATCTAGCAACTGACCCACCCAATCACTGAACAATCCCTCCTCCAACTTCCTTTAATGCTCCCTCCATCTCTTTCTTTCCTTCCTCCCTCCTTCTCTCCCTTCCCTTCTTCCTTCTATCTTCCCATCCATTTATCCGTCTGTCTTCCTATGTCCTTTCTTTCCTTCCTTCCATTCATGCTCATATCTATACTTTCATCCACTTGTCCTTAGTTCCTTTTTTCCTTCCATCCATCCTCTCATCTACCCTTCCATCCATTTGTCTTTATTTCCTTCCATCCATCCATCCATCCTCTCATCTACCCTTCCATCCATTTATCCTTATTCCCTTCCATCTGTCCATCCATCTATCCATCGATCCATCCAGTTATTCATCCATCCAAAGACTTACCCAACTACCTGCCTATCCGTCCATCCACCCTTTTCTCCATCTGCCCTCCCTCCAGCCTTCCAAGCATGTATCCTTCAATCCACCCCTCTACCCACCTGCCCATCCCTCATGTCACCTATCCCTCCAACCACTATCCATTCATCCACACATTTATTTATCCACCAATCCTTCCGGTTATTTACCCACCCATCTTTCCATCCCTTCATGCCTCCACCCACCCACCTGTCCAAACCATTCAAACGCCACCAAGCAAACATGCCCCCAGTGTCCTCTCCAGGCCGGCCCCGGGTCTCTGAGGCCCTACCCCTGAACCCTCCCTGGCGGACCCAGTCCACCTGGCCTGGCTCACTTGCTGTCCAGCAGGTCCATGATGGGTTGCAGCACGTTGTCGGCGTCCTGGGCCACGCTGCTGCAGGCACTGGCTGGCACATTGCCTGTGCCCTTCACCTGGCTAAGGATGTCACCCATCTGCTTGACACACTCCTCGATGTGTGGCTGGAAGCTGGGGAAACAGAGGGGAGCAGCTCAGATCAGACTCTCCTGGCCTCTGCAGGAAGGACTGGACGAGGCCACAGAAGCTGATCTGTGGACCTTGATCTGTTGTCACCCGGGTCAGGGAGCCATGGCACACGACTGAGCAAGGGTGCTGTATAATAGCAGAATCGGGCACCAGGCTGAGACATTTACCTGCGTTGTTCATTTCATCGCACAGTCCTACTTGGGTACCGTCATTATCAGCATCCCCACTTTACAGATGAATAAACTAAGGCTCAGAGATGTTCAACGACTCACCCAAGGCCACACAGCTAGTGAGTGGCGAAGTCAGGATTAAACTCAGCCACGTCTAACTCCTAGCCTGAGGTCTTGGCCCCTACACCTCCTGAGTCTCTGGATGCCCCAGGTGCAGAGGTCTCGGGGCTGCCCTCTTCCCTCTGCTCCCAGCCGTGGAGGTGCCCCCACCTGGTAGCAAACACCCGGCTGAGCTCATCCAAGACGTTGTTGAGTTTCACCTGGAGCTCCTTCAAGATGTCACTGGCCTCGGCATCCAGCTGAGGAGGGAGAAGGGACAGCAGGTCAGGTTTTATTTTTTTTTTAAAGATTGGCACCTGAGCTAACAACTGTTGCCAATCTTTTTTTTTTTTTTTTCTGCTTTTTTCTCCCCAAATCCCCCCAGTACATAGTTGTATATTCTAGTTGTGGGTCCTTCTAGTTGTGGCATGTGGGACGCCGCCTCAGCGTGGCCTGATGAGTGGTGCCATGTCCACGCCAGGATCCGAACCAGTGAAACCCTGGGCTGCTGAAGCGGAGCACACGAATTTAACCACTCGGCCACGAGGCCGGCCCCCAGCAGGTCAGGTTTATAGGGCATCCACATGTACAGGGAATTTTCCCATCCAACCCAGGTAAAGGGACCCCAAAGGGCCGGACAGGAAAGTGAGGCACAGATGGCAAAGCTGCTTGCTTGCGCTGAGCGAGTGGCTGAGCTGGAATTCACTGGGTAGGAGCTCTAGGGCCGACAGGGACATGGGGACGGTGGTGACCCCACCTGGCCCACCTCACCTCCTTCCCTCCCATGGCTTCGAACATCTTCTCCAGCTGAACTCGCAGCTGCTGAGTGTTGTTCATGAGGATGCAGGGCTGGGGAGGGGACAGAGCGGGGAGTCAGGGCTCAGGACCCCTCCCCTGCACCTCCCCCCGCCTGCCAGGGACCCCGGGATCATTTCAGGGTCTGGGTCTGGAGGAAGCTGAGGTCCCACAGGGTCATCTGAGAATGGAAGACAGCATTAGGGAGCAGACTCCCAGGAGTGTTGGAGATGGGGGTCTCTGGGGTGGGCAGGCCTGGTGAGAGGGGTAGGACTCTGGGAGAGGCAGAAAGGGGAATTCTTGTCACACACCTTTATTCTCCCACATGGGGCTCAAAGCTTTGCACATTCACATACATACACCCTGCAGTCGTCATTCACAACAACCACACAATGACACACTGAGGTCCCCTCACCTCCAGATCCCCTCAGACACACACAGGCAGACACACAGAGCTGGACACACCCACAGACACAGGTATCAGAGCCCAGGGAAAGATGGAGTCCCGGGGGTGCAGAACGGGACTGGGAGAGGACAGGACAGGGGCCCCCGCTGGTCACCACTTTCTCTTTCTCCTTGGAGCAGTAGGAGGCGAAGTCCTTGGAGATGATGTCTGCATACTGGAGGAGCACGTTGCTGATGGTCTGGGGAGGACACAGAGGGCGTGAGGACAAGGTGGGGCCGGGGCGGGATGGGCCCTTGGCTACCAGGTGCCATCAAGAGCCACTGGTGAGACTAGGGATGAACCCGAACCCCTGTTAGCACCTGAGATGAACCACTGGGCCTGGGCAAATTCCCTGCCCAAGATGGCCGTCACGGCAAAGGGGAGATGGTACCAGATGAAGGTGATTATTTCACATAGACCCAGCTCTTTTTAAGAGCAGCTAACCGTTATATTAACCCAGTCCCAGCCATAAGCATGACTCGATCCCAAATGGAATCCCAGTTCCTACTTTCAACCCTCAACTTCAACCGGGCCTAAAGCCACTCCAGCTGAGCCTCAACTGCAGCCCAACAGTCCCGGCTTCCAAACTCACCCCAATGCCTGCTCAAACTCTGCACGAACTGCCACACTCCAGCCTCAGCCCCAAGCAGAATTCCAATCTGAAGAGTGACCCTAAACCCAACCCCAAGCTCAACCCCACCCCCAACTCCAGCCCCATTTGGACCCCAGCACCAACTTAAACTCGAACTTTAACCACAACCCCGACCTCAACCCCAGCCTCAAACTCAACCTCAACCCAAACATCAGTCCCAATGTCAACCCCAGCCTCAGTGACATTGCCAGCTCCAACTCCAACCTCAGCCCCAGCCTCAATGACATTGCCAAATCCAACCCTGACCTCAGCCCCAGCCTCAACCCAAACCCTGGCCCCAAACACATCTCTAACCTCTGTGGCATGACCTCAACCCCAATCTCAATACCAATGACCTCACCAATTCCAACTTTGACCTCAGTCCCAACCTCAACCCCAATCCTGACCTTGACCCCAATCCCAAACTCAACTCCAACCCCAACCTTGACCCTATCCCACCCCATCCCCCACCTGGACCCCATCTCCGGCCCCACCCACACTCCTGCACCTTGGCAAAGCGCCTCATGTAGTGCCCCACGATCTGGGGGTCGGGGCACTCGAGCTTCTTGATGATCTCGAAGCTCTGGTTGAGCTGGGAGAAGACGTCCACCACAGAGCAGGAGAACAGGGCGTGCTCCGAGGTCTGCTGGAACTGCCGTGGGAGGGAGGCCAGGAGGCCGGGGCGGGGTCAGAGCCACACAGTTCCCAGAGCCCAACCCTCCCGCCGGCCCCAGGGAGACGGATCAAGTGAGATGGGTAGTGTGCGAGGCTGGCTTAGAGCCAAGGCTCTGGGGGGCGCAGAGGCTGCGGGGTGGGTGGAGGGTCAGGCTTGATGGACTTGCATTCATTGGTTGAATGAACAAAAGACTTTCAACACTGCGAACAAGACAAAGCTTTCAGAGACTGGCCTCATCCCAAGGGCACGTTTTACCCCCGGGCTGGATCCCAATGAACCCCAGAGGAAATAAGGCCGCTGGGAGTAGACTGGGAGCTTGGTCTTGGGTCAGCCTTCTCACCCCATCCTTCTTGTCTCGCTCCAGAGCCCCGTGCAGGAAATCCCGGGACACCTCCTCATTCTCATCCAGCCACTGGATGACGAAGGGCTCAAACCACCTGGAACGGAGAGCCAGGGTGGGTCCCGCCACCTCTTGTCCCCTGACTCTCTGCTCTGCCCGGTTCTGACCGAGTGCTGGATGGTGCTGGGGCAGGTCCTGCTCTGCCTGGAACTCACCCTGTGGCCTTGAGTGGCTGCCCCTCTGCTCCCCTCCCCCACCAGGCCTCAGTTACCTCATCCGGGAAATGGACCAAGTGACCACTGTGAGAGTGCAGCCTTATACTCGCGGGAATCCTGGTTCAGATAAACTGTCCGTGGACAAGTGGATTTACTCTCTGGGATCCCATTTCCTGGACCACAGAGGAGTCTCTACCCCACAGAGCAGCTGTGGGTATGAACGACACAGCACATAGTAGGTCCTCGGTAAATGGTGGCCACCTCCCACTCTGCAAAACAGCCCTTGAGTCAGACAGCTGGAGTCCAAACCCCGGCTCTGACACTTATCAGACATCACCTCGGGCATTCAACCCTCCATTTCCTCATCCACAAAACGGGAATCACAGGGCTCCCGTCTCACAGAATTGTCGAAAGGATTAAATAAGAAAAGGCACGTGGGGTTGCTCAGCGCAGTTCCTGACACTTATGATTATTGTCTGGGCTGTTACTGGAATCCTTAGTTCAATGGCTGAGAATGGAGAACAGTGAGTTTGAGCCCCACCTGGTCCCAGCCACCCACAGAAGCCTGTGTAGGCCAGCCCTCCCCTCCGAGCTCAGTCTGGCAGTGAGTGCCGTGGTTCTGGTTTGGGCTTGGGGCAGGGGACTCACGCGGGGTACTCAGGCACGCGGTCCTTGAAGGCAGGAAGCTCCGCCACGTACTCATTGTAGAGCCACTTGACCTTGAAGTGGAGGTTCATGTAGTCGGCGCTCTTGCACAGACGATGCTTGTCGTGCTCTGTGCGGGGGAGCAGGGGCGGCTCAGTCAGGAGCGCCCGCCACCCCCGTCTCAGCAGTACCAGCTCTGGCCATCACTGGTGTTCGACCTCAGGCATGAGGGTCCAGGACACTCACAGCCTTGGAGGGGACACTGAGGCATAGCTAGCCGCTGCAGCCAGGCCGGGAGACACGGAGGCAGGGGACTCACCCTCCATGGCGTACTTCATGTCCTGGGCAAACAGGTTCCACATCACTTCCGCACTGATTTTACCCACGTTCAACTCCTGGGGAAACCTGACGAAGGCCACAGAATCGTGAAACCTTGGCAGACAGAAGCCAGACGGCACAGGCTGCTTGGGCCTTCCCAGCCCAGAGGGCTGTGTGGGACAGGCGAGAGAGCTGGAGTCAAGCTCCCTCAGAGCCGCTGACTTGCTGAGTGACTCCGCACTAGGGCCCTGCTTCTCCCGGAGGCTCCACCCACTCATCCCTCCTCCCTTCACCCATTCATTCACCCCCTCGTCCATCTGTCTACCCATTCATTCGCCCACCTGTCTATCCATCCACCCATCCATTCCTTTATCCACCCAGCCATCTTCCCATCAATCTCTTTATCCATCCACCTAGTAATCCACCCATCTCCATCCATCTGTCCATCCACCCAAAATCCCTGATCTGAACTCCATATCTAAGTAACCAAGAGCTGTTGGCACCCCAGAGTTACGGGCCCCTTTAGTGCTCACCTCAGGGAGAAACAAAACACAACAGCTCATTCAGCTAACACAGATGAAACTTCTCTAGACATATAATTCCACAAACCAAAACTGGTACACACTCACACACAATTACACAACATACCACATTGTATATTGAAGTGCATTCCACAAGTGAACACAGATACACAATTAAACCCATAGACCACAACTGTACACAAAATTACATCCACGCATGTAAGATATAATGTGATTTAAATGTAAAGCGTTTAGTGGGGCACTATCTAGCACACAGTAAATACTCAAACACTGTCTATTGTTATTCATAAACCTACACATGCAGACAAAATTATATACATTCATATAAATACTGTTATTTACACAAATCAACATGTGCAAAATACATACCTAATCACACCAGGATTGTGTACATACACACAATTTTTTGTTTCTCTTTGCAAATTATGTCACATCTCATCCAGGCGCACCCACATCCACAACATTTTGTGTGTAATTAGACATGACCACCTTTGCATATAAGACACAAAGTTGTGCTCACACATACACAATGACCTCCAGATAACTAACTACGCAGACACACAACTCACTGGTTGAGGCAGGGAGTGTAGGAATTCTTGTCTTCCTCAATGATGGACACTATGAGAGTGATCAGCTTGGACCAGAAGTCGAGGTTCTTGATGCTGGGGCCCTGCTCCTCTGGGGGAACTTCCCCTTTCTTGGCCTGGAAGAGGCAGTGGACACGTTGGCCACAAGGGGTCTAGGGGTGGGGGCCTCACTCAGTCCATTATGGAGGGGTAGGAGGTTGGTGAGGAAGGGGCCCCATTAACATGTGTGGTCTAGCTGGGAGGTCTGCATGAAAAGGAACTGAACTCGTGTAAACTAGCCCAAACAGAGGTCAGGTCCACACAGCTCCAAGAAGCTTAATTAGACTCAACTCAATAAAACTGAATGGAACTGAATTTAGTTGAACAAATTCAGACCCACTAAACCAAATGGAACAGAAATGAATGCAAATCAGACCCACTTAGCTTAACAGATGGCAGTTCTCAGAGTTAATTCAGTGGGACTGAACTTGGGCCAGCTACACTGAATGGAGTGGAATTGAATTTAACTGGATTGAAATGAACTCAAATAAACTCAACTGGATTGAACCTAATCAACTTGTCCAAGATCAACATCAGCCTAATTCAAAATAATGGAGATAAATTGACTTGAACTCACCCAACCCAATTTAATCTAATTCAACTCAATCCAAGTCAACCCAACCCAACCCTACCTACTCAACTCAACCTAACATATTCAGGCCAACTCTATCCAACTTTAGTCAATCAATGGAAATAAATGCACCTAAATGCAATGGAAATGAGCCCAACTCAACTCAGTTGAACTCAGCTGTACCTAACCCAATGACCCACCTCATCCTAACTCAAGCCAACTCAACTGAGTCAAGAACAACTTCAACTCAAGTCAACTGAATGGAAATAAATGATTTTGTACTCAAACTCAACGCAATCCAACTCAGTTCAGCTCACTAATTAGCCGAGAACAATGTTATCTTAAGTCAACCAAATAGAGATAAATGGAACTAAACTGACTGTAGTTGAACTAAACTCAACCCAACTTAATCCACTTCGCCTCCACCCAATTCAATTAAGAGCAACTGGATTTCAACTCAAGTCAACTGAATGCAAGTGAACAAGAGGAAATAAAGTTGAACAGAGCTCAGCTTCTGTGTTCTCTCCCATCAGCCGGAGCTGAGAGAGGGCCACTCCAGCTCCCGCAGCCCCCAAGATTCCCCCCTCCCAGTGCTAATCACCCTGGGCCGTAAAGCTCTGATTTCTACATCTTTCCCTCCTACTAGAGTCTAAGGTCTTGGAACCCTTTCTGACAATCTTGGGACATTGTATGTGTAGATAAACACGTGCTGAAGGATCTCAGATAAGTTGAGTTGAAATGATCAAAACCGAACTCTACTCAAGCCATTCAATGTAACGCAACATCTGTTGAACGCTGACTTTATTCCAGGCATGCTGTGTTATGCCAAACTCAATGAAGTTTTACCAAAACCAAACCTATGGAGCAGCCATTGTGTATCGGGTGCTAAGCACTTAACTATAGTTTATCTAAAGCTTGTGTCTCATTAAATCTTCTTCTCAATCCTGAGATGTGGGTTTATGACCCCACTTCACAGATGGAGATACTGAGGCTCAGAACAGTCTGTCACCTGGGAGGGGGCAGATCTGGGGCTTGGGCCAGGGTCTGGTTGCCATTCCCTATCCTGGGGTCCTCACCGGGTCTGTCTGGTACTCCCGACTGTACAGCTCGTGACAGTTGTTGAAGATGTACTCGTAAGTGGAGTTGAGGCAGGCTTTCACACAGTCCTTCACCACCTGGCTGGCGCGGGGAGGGCTCTGGAGCTCTTGCACCTGGAGAGAGGGAGACGGGCATGGGTGGGCACAGCCAGGACAGGAGGTGCCCAAGAAGCGGCTACAAGTGGTTCTGGGCTCTGCTGGAGCAGTAGGAAAGCAGAGGGTCGCTGAGAAGGGCACAGCCCTCCAGGCAAAATGTTCCGCGTCTAGGAGCTAAGAGTCCTGGAGAGGCTCCCTGCAGAGCTAACGGGGCTGGGTCCCCTTCCCCACCTTCATCCGAAAGAAGGTGATGCTGGTGAGGAGGTCCACAGTGGATTTGAGGTCCTGGAGTCTCTCCGGGCTGCTGGCTGGGAAGTTATTCTGTTGGAAGTGAGAAGAGAGGCGGGGTTACGGAAGAAGGCTGGGAGACAGTGTCTGAGGGAAGACACGAGAGTCCCCAAGTTTCAGGAGGTGGCGGGGGTCAATGAGAACACCTTGAGGCAACTGGGGGATCTGCTGGATGCACCAAGCACGTTGGGCAGGTGCTGCCCACATATGTGGACACGTGTCAAAGGAACACATTCCACACGTTAAGATGGGTCCTCCCACATGCACGCCCACTGGGAGCGGTCTCCTCTGGACACACTTGTGCGGGGGGATGAGCAAGTCGTCATGCATGCACTTCTCACCCGGTACATGGAGAGGTCGATCCGCAGGGAGTTATGCAGCTGGTCCAGGAGTTTGACAAAGCGCTCTTTCTGAGGAGGCAGAGGAGGAGGAAGATGGATGGAAGCGGGGACTTGGGGGTCAAATGTAGCAGCTAAAGGGGCTGCCATGTTGGCTGAGCACTTACTATACACTAAGGGTACCCCATCCACCATTGAACTGAACCCTCAAAACATCTGTTTCCATTCTACAGAGGAGTAAACTGAGGCTCAGAGAGGGCAAGTGGCTGGTGCAAAGTCACACAGCAAGTCAGATCCAGACTGGGGACCGAGGAACCACACAGAGTCTGACCCGCACAGGGTTGGGCTCTCCCTCATCCCCTAGCCCTGACCCCTGGGACTGACCCCGAAGTTGGAGGCAGCGAAGCGGTCTGAGGCAGACACATTGGTGGAGGCGGTGGTGTGCGCGTAGTAGGCATTGATGTTGGCGAGCAGGGTGCTCATGACGGCAGGCACCCCGGGGCACATGTACTTGGAGGAGAGGCAGGCAAAGTGGCTGGTGGGAGGGAGCAGGAGGCGCTGGGCCTGGTGTCCAGCCAGGGTGGGCCACATCCCCCCAGAATGCCTCCGAGACAGCATCCATGAGTGGCTCCCCTGACCCCCGAACTGCCCCCTTTCCCTCTGCCTGATTCCACCCTCCCTGCTCACCTCTCTCCTCTCTGGGTCGCCCTATTTCTGCCTCTAACTCTGCCTCTTGTCCCTGTCACTCCAGCCCCCAGCAATGGCACTTTCCTAACCTTCAGGGGAATTACATAACCCCCACCACACCTACTGCCCCTCTGCCTCCTCCCCCCAAGAACTCTGTCCACTTGGTGCCCCACCCCCACCCCCAGCTTCCTGCACCTCGCCCTCATGTCCACCCCGGCCTGCAGCCTCACGTCATGGCTTGATAGATGGACTCGACGCCATAGCGCATGGCAAACTCATCCACAATCTCCTGGGCTGTCTCATCGTAGTAAACCTTCCAGGCGTCGTCGCCCTTGGCATCTGGGATCTTCACGACTCCATTGTTCTGCACGTCCGTCACGAAGTGGAACAGGTTCTGCCACCACAAGGGAAAAGGTGTCACAGAGACTGCAAGAGGGCAGGAGGGGCCAGAGATCCCAGGTCTGGCGCAGCTTACATCATCTATTCATCTGTCTGTGCATTAGTTCATTCACCCACTCTTTCACCCACCCATCCATCCGGCTACCCAAAATTTCACCTATCCACTCATCCATCCTTCCGCTAATTCAACCACACATCCATCCACCCACCCACCCACCCATCCATCTGTCTGTCTGTCCATATATCCACTTGCCCAGCCACCCATCCATTCAACTAGGCAAAAATTCACCCATCCAGTAATCCTCCCTTCTAGCAATTCAACCACACATCCATCCATCCTATCCATTTACCCACAACTTAATCTGTCCACCCAACAAGTCATCCATCCATCTACCTGACTACTAAAAATTTCACCCATGCACACATCCATACTTCCAACAGCTCGACCACACATCCATCCACCCATCCTTCCTTCTGTCCTTCCACACATCCATCCATCCATCCATCTGTCCAACTGCCTGTCTGCCCACCCATCCATAAATCCACCCACCCACCCACCCAACTACCCCAAAATTCATCTATCTACTCGTCCTTTCATCTAATAACTCCACCACACATCCATCTATCCCATGCAGCTACCCACAACCTAATTGTCCATCCAACAATTCATCCACCCACTGGTTCAACCATCCACCACTCATATATCTATCTACCCATCAATTTATCCATCCATCCATCCATCCATCATCCATCTTTATACCCATCTACTCACCCATCCATCTATCCAACTACCCCCAAATTCACCCATCCACTCATCTATACTTCCAGTAGTTCAACCACACATCCACCTGCCAATCTGTCCATCTTTCTATTCATCACTCATTCAGCCATTCAATCATTTATTTATTCAACAGACTGAATTCTTTCCAGGAGCCCGCAGGCAGCTGGAAGAGACAGACCAAAACACAAACAGCCCAACCCTGAGTGTTCGGGGCTGGGACAGATGGAAGGACCTGGAGCTGGGTAGTGAGAGTCTGTCTGGAGGTCAGAGAAGGCTTTCCAAGGAGGGGGCCCTGAAGCTGGACCTTGATGGATGGAGAGTTTTCCAGGAAGAGAGGATAGCATGTGGGACAGTCTCAGGGGTCCAGGGGAGTGTGGATGGCGTGGCTGGAAAGAGGAAGGTGAAGCTGGGGCAGGCAGGAATGGCGAGTGGAGGCAATGTGGGAGGTCACGCTGAGCTCCGAAGGCAGGGTGGGGCAGGGGGTCTCACCTCATGAAGACAGGTGTACTGGACATGGTAGGGGGCCACCTTCTCCTCGCCTTTGATCTCCACACTGATGTGTAGCCGGATGGCACCCGACACAGCGGATTTGTCAGTCCGCTTGTCTGCAGGGCAGAAAGGGATGGCTGCATCAGAGCTTCTCAATACAGCCCTGGGCTGTTTCAACGCATGCATGACTGCAGCCCTCCTGGACCCCCTGAAATTCAGGCCTGGCTGTCTCTCCGCCAGTTGGCTCCCGAGGCTGGTGTCTCTCCTGCTAGACTAGAATGTTCAGCCGTGTCTCTCCGTTCACACTAGGACCCCAGACCTTGCTTCCTCAGCCAGATTAAATTCCCAGGTCTGTGTCTCTCTCGTTAGACTAGGAGCCCCAGGCCTGCTTCTCCTCCAGGCTCTGTCTCTCCCAGCAGATGAAGCTCCCCAGAGTCTACTCATCTTCTTAGACAGGGTTCCTGAGTCTGTGCCTCTGTCCTCAGACTAGGATCTCCAGGTCTTGCTTCCTGTCTCCCCCATCAGAATGGGATATCTAGATTTCCTCAACCAAACTAAGAAGTTCCTGGGTTCTGCTCACCCCTCACAGACTGGGTTCCTCCTACGCCCTCAGATTGGGCTTATAGACCCTGCCTCCCCCATCAGATTGGGCTCACAGATGCTGCTCAGCTTCTTAGATAGGGTTCTTGGTTCTGTAGCTCCTCTCTCAGATTAGGATTCCCAAACTATACCTCCTCCTTCAGACTGGATTCTCCAAGTTCAATCTTCCTTCTTAGATTGGATCCCTGGGGCAGTGCCTCTCTCCTCGGACTAGGATCCCCAGGTCTTGCTTCCTGTCTCTGCCATAAGACTGGGATGTGCAGATTCTGTCCCTCCCTCACCGTCCCAAACTGAACTAAGAGGTTCCTGGGCTCTGCTCACTCTCTCCGGCTGGGTGCTTCCTGCCGCCATCAGACTAAGCCCAAAGACCCTGCCTCCTCCATCAGATTGGGCTCCTAGACCACTCCTGACACTGAGTCTCTCCCCTCCAGCCTTGTTCCCCACTTTGGCTGGCTCCCTGGGGCCCACGCCCCTGCAGAACCCCACCCTCACTCACCCAGGTTGTACCACACGTCCATCTCGCCGCTGAGTGTCCGCACCTCGATGATGGTCTGCCCCAGGAAGTCGTCAGATTCCCTCTTGAACCGCTGCTTCACTCGGGATTTGATGTCATCATCCTCATCCCAAACGCGCACCTTGATTCGGTCAGAGGAGTTGTGACATTCACTGCAGGGGGGAGGGGAGGCGAGGGCAGGGGTCAGGCGGCCAGCACGGGCTGCTCTAGGAGCCCCCTTCAGCTCCCACAGCAGGGAGCCCCACGCCGAGGGCCGGGGGCCCCACCGGGCACTTACAAGTGGAAGTTCTCCTCCCACACGGGGTTCAGGTTCCCATAGATGGTCTTTGTCCGTTTCTTGGTCTTCCCCACCTGGACGGTGACATAGGGGTCACTGGATCCCGTCTTGTCCTTTGCCTGCAAGCCCTGGGCACAGACCACTGGGAGACACACAGGACAGATACAGCGTGGGCTCAAGGAGCAAGCCATGCCAAGAACGGTCACTGGCACAGGCTCCAGGCTGCTGCTAGGGATGCCCAGGACGGACCAAGGGCTTGGTTCTGGCCACAGGCGCCAGAGGGCACACCCACTGGGCACACTAGGCTTGCTGAAGAGTTAACACCCAGGGAACCCTCAGCCACTGAAGGATGGAAAGATGCCCCAGGGCCACCCTTGGGTGGGACATTCTCAAGTGTGTGCTCCACCCTGCTCCCCTAAGGTCTCCAGCAGGATCCAGCCTGCAGCAGCTGTCGCCTGCTCATTGGCGCCCCCTGCAGGGCTCCTTCCCTCCCTGCTCCCAGCCTCATGTCTCCACCCCCTACTGGGGCTTCCTGGGACCACCTCCCTGCTACGCCGTGCTGCCCTCAAGTCCTCTTCTTGGGGTCTGGTTCTGGGGGGCACCCACCAAGACGCACCCAGAGAGAGTGTCAGGCACACACGTTTGGAGGCATACTTGCACATCCCGTGAGCACAAATGCACACACACATGGACGTGGGGAAGACATAGACATGCTCAAGTACACGCAGCAAAAGGGAAGAAGCGGCGTGGGAGGGGGCACAGGGGGCTAAGGCGAAGGGACTCCGTGGCCACCCCGGCGCCCCGCGGCCTCACCGGTGATGCTGATTTTGGCCGACCACTTGGACGTGCCGTCCAGCACGCTCTGCTTGACCGCCTTCATCTGCTGCGTGTGCGTGGTCTTGGTCACCGCGAAGATCTCCTGGATGAGCTCGAAGATCTCGGGCTTGTTGCGCTCCCGGATCTTCATGCGGTCCTTGAGCACCATGATGATGTTCTGCGTCCGGTCCTCCGCCCCGTGCTTGGAGCTCTTCTCCGCCGCCCCTAAGGACGCAGACGCCCCTCACTGTCCAGAGCGCACTCCCTCACCCAGGTGAGAACTCCCGCTCCCACTCCAGAGCTTCCTCGGCTGCGGCCACGGGCACTTTAAGCCGTGGGGGTTCAGGTGAACCACCCGCAAAAGCTACAGCTGCGACAGCTTTCTACTTGCTCTCTCAATCCCCCTCCCACCAGGCCTTTCACCCTTCAATCCCCGTCCCCTCCCTGAGCCCTTCATTCCCTGTCCTCCAGTCCACCAGTCCTCGTGAGTCCCCCCACCCACCTCCCTCCAAGACCCCTTCCCTTGTCTGACACCTCTCCCCCACACTGAGCCCTTTCTCATTCGTAGCCCCTTCCTTTCTTTGAGCTAACCCTAACCTATTTTGCTGCCTCTCATTAACCCCGCCCTTTGCACAGTGTAGCTCGTCCCTGAGCCCTTCCACACCCGTCTCTGACCGTCTCACGTCCTTTCCCCTCCTCTGACCCCCTAATCCTCGCCCCACCGAGTCCCGCCCCGTAGCCCCACCCCCTTTGTTTGCCCCTCCCCTCCCCGCCCTCCGCCCCGCCCATTCCACAAAGCCTCGC